CCTGATCACGAATATCACATTCGTTTCGAGCGCTGGCGTCATTTGGCGCCATTATGCGCCAATTTGGCGCCCACCACTTTTTTCACCAAAGTCGATGAAAACTTGCATATGGGGGTTAATTGAGGTCCTGATTACGAATCCAACATTTATTTTTGGCGCTGGCGCCATTTGGCGCCATTACGCGCCAATTTGGCGCCATATTGGCGCATAATGGCGCCAAATGGCGCCAGCGCTTGAAACCAGTGTGATATTCGTAATCAGGACCTCAATTAACCCCCATATGCAAGTTTTCATCAACTTTGGTGAAAAAAGTGGTGGGCGCCAAATTGGCGCATAATGGCGCCAAATGACGCCAGCGCTCGAAACGGATGTGATATTCGTGATCAGCGCATCGAATTACATCTATAGGCAACGTTTCAGCGAAAAAATTTTTTTGAGTTTTTGGGGTAGGAATATAGTTCAATAGTGCCAATACTTTGTATGTAACATCTTGCGACTACGATTCATGTTTTTCAGGATCTTAAGTTCGGCATTGACCATGGCGTCGACATTGTCTTTGCCTCCTTCATTCGAAATGCAGAGGGAGTGCGTACCATTCGAAAGGTAGAATTTTGAATCGTTATTATTGCGTATCTCTTCTCTATGATGAGTCTCCTGAATTTCTGAAATAATTCATTTTTAGGTTATGGGCGAAAGAGGCAAAGACATAAAAATCATCGCCAAAATAGAAAACCAGGAAGGTATGGATAATGCTGATGAGATTATTGAGGAATCAGACGGCATTATGGTAGCGAGAGGTGATCTTGGAATTGAAATCCCTGTCGAGAAGGTGTTCCTTGCTCAGAAGGTAGGACTTTCAGAGAAGGCTCACTGCCATTCAGAGGTTTTGAATAAGTCAAGCTTTACTTTATAGATGCTGATAGCAAAGTGTAACAAAGCCGGTAAACCAGTCATTTGTGCTACTCAAATGCTCGAATCCATGGTGAAGAAACCACGCCCAACTCGCGCCGAAGGCAGTGATGTTGCCAATGCGGTACGTGTTAGCAGCTCACTTTTCTGTACATTTAGCAAGAATTGGCATATTTGATAGAAAATCTTTGATTTCTCTGTTAAGCTTCTGCTTTTGACGTCTTCTAGTTCTCCATTCATAGACGAGTTTTAATGACGGTTTTTATAACTTTTCCTTGATGACTCCATGGATCATTCTCAAAGATTTATGTTTTAATTTTCACTTTCCATATAGAAAATTCGGCACTATTTACCCTTTACTGCCCCAACCATCCAGAATTGAGCCAGTTTTTGACCGACTTTTTTCTCCGTGGACAGATTTGGCTCAAATGTTGTCTCCTGGGGTAGTTTGACCTCCTGAATACGAATATCACATTCGCTCAGCCCGAAACTTCCTGGCGCCCGCGCCACAGGCGCCGTGATTTGGGGTATTTTGGCGCCAGCACCTGTAGCGCGGGCGCCAGGAGGTTTCGGCCGAGCGGATGTGATATTTGTGTTCAGGAGGTCAAACTACCCCTGGGAACTCAGATAACCCTGGTGACAAATTTAAGCGATTTGATGGCCTTCAAGTATTTTGGCGGGGCGCCTGGAAGCCGGCGTTCGGGAATTCCGGCCGAGTGCTGTGATATACCTGTTTCAGGAGGTCGAACTACCCGAGAACAAATTTTTCGGCCAATGCTGACGCTAACGTAAAGCAGGCGATGTGAAACGGGCGTGGATCCGGACGAGCAGGAAGGGAAAACAGAGAGGAGACACGTCGGTCAAAGAAAACGAAAGGGAAGGGGGGGGCGGCTTGTGGAGGCAGTAAAGGGTAAATAGTGTCTAATATTTATATTTACTTCGTTTGTAAATACGTTATGAATCCCTTTGCTCTGTAGTGTTTATACTCTGCTTAGCTGCGGACAAGGGGCATGCTCAGGCGGGATGAGTTGGCGGCGTTTCCCGTAATCCTCTCTCCATCCATTGTTAATGCCAAGCAAGCTGAATAACGGCACGCGTTCATACTTCGCGACAACGTTGGGGGGCAGAGCGGAACGTGCGATCGGCTGGAACTATCGACGCGACGGTGGATCGAAGTGCGCGCGGGAGTCGTCGGTGTATGGCGAACATGGTGCGCGGCCTCAAGTGGCTTTCTATTTGATCTGACTTCCGAAAAAACCTTTTCTCTAATCTAATAGCTCTTAACTGTCATACTTTCGTATTAATCGATGGCTATTAACTGCGAACCTACGACTTTCTATACTTGAGAGGATCTGGATTATGAGGAAGGGAAGGAGTTCCACCTTTTTTTGAGCTCAGGACCAGGCCAGCTTCATTCCCTAGGTGAGCTTCTTTTGTTTCTTTTGTTTTTATTGTTTCAGATATAAGTGTCTCAAAAATTTCCTTTGGCTAACTGTTCCAACTTCCAAAACATTTATAGTTTACAAGTCGAGTTCAAACAACGAAAAAAAAAGAAACAGAAAGAAACTCACCTAGAAAAACTAATTCTTTTATGCAACACCAAGGAGGAGGAGTTTTCATAATTTCATGTATAAGCTCGAATGAAAAAAAGACAATAAGAACTCACCCTAAATGAAGCTCTCATGCTTTTTGCAAAGTTTTATTTTGAATCAAAAAAGAAAATAAAAAAGCGCGCATTTTATCTGGGTCCATCTTTCTGTGAGTCAAAACAAGCCTTTGTCCCTGAAGCTTGCAATCAAAAGGAAAAAAGCACCAATCAGGTCGGTTTGCGGCCTTCCAAGTAATAGCCTTGGGGCGCGCTTGGTTGCATACTGCATATCGCTACGATCGCCGCGGCCTCTGCTGTCGCGATGTATGAACGCTGACTGTATCATATAAGACTGTATCATATCGCTGGTATCACTCGTTTTCCACCAATTGTTGTTGCATACCCGCTTCAACATTGGCAGAAAACGGGTTTGGCGCCGTGGCACACTCACACTGCCTGACACGCCCCTTCGTCCGCAGCGAACTAATGTATTAAATATCTTAAACATTTCTTTGTTATATTTTATATATTATGTATTTTATTATATCATATGGCATTTTACTTCCTTACCTTTACTTTCAGTGGTTTCGATCTCGCTTAATTTTTTTACTCATTCACCGCGTAATTTCATTCTTTTTTTAATATCTACGATGGATTTTTACCCGGAAAACATGCCAGAATAGTAAAATATGGCCACTTTGAAGGTTTTGGATGGTGCGGATTGTGTTATGCTGTCTGGTGAGACTGCAAAAGGAGATTATCCGGTCGAGGCTCTGAAGATCATGCACTTCATCTGCAAGGTAAGCGTTCGTTGCTATTTTACTCGAATACTTTTTCTACATGGGAAAA